ACCCTGCAATGCTCTACTTAATGAACTCAACACCGGGATACAATAAGCACAAACCAACCATCGTCGCATCTGCAACTAGGAAGTAAATTAAATATAGATCGTCACTGTGCGCTTAAACGTTGTATACTGATCGGAAACATACTCCTATCCCACTGTAGAGAACGTTAGTACAACAAGTGTGGCAATGATCGCAGGAAAAGTAAGAACTACGAAGTACGGGCAGCGTAGCTGCTAGTAAGATCAATCAACGCTTGTCGAGCATCACAGTCGGGAAGTTGGAGTAAGCAGCCTATCGCCTGAAAAAATCACTCAGCGAAATATTAGTCTATCGGTATCAACCAATGTCTATCACTCGAAAGGTCCCCAGTTCGACTCTCGCACCCGTTACTTTAGAAGCGTGATATCCCACGAGCAGTTTCGCTCGTTGTAATGCTTTCCCATTTCTCTGCAATGCCTCTAAGGCCATCTCCGCATCTCCCTCCCCCTTGAACCCGCGCTCCACCAAGGATAGCAAGGACGGATCGTCGTCACATGCGAAAAGGAACTGACAATAGTACAACTCCAAATCGCCCACGATACCGCAAGGCTGCTGCCTACCGGTGCTGTTGCTTGACCGTTGAGCAAGTCTGTTCCTTTTGGTTTCCCGAGACTTCCTGAGCTGCCTTCAACGTCCATCTCGACATCGAGCATATCGTCTCGGATTTGGAATTCCAGACCGAAGTGGACTCCGAAAAGGTAGCATGCTGATACGAGGGCTGGAGGAAGATCTACACGGGATCGAGAAAATCGGCTTCGATCATCGAACTCATTATTATCATACTACTACTACTACTACTACTACTACTACTACTACTACTACTACTACCAGCAAGGATCGCCACACATTCCATAGCACTGGCGAAGAGGCTTGCTGTTTTATAAAAAGACTTTAATATGTAACGCTTAAAGTGCGGCCGAACTGCTGCAGACTTCAGGGCGATGGCAGAAAACCGATTTGATGTTACCGATGTCGATGGCGATCTTGGCAGGCTGAAAAGACACAGATATCGAAAAGCAAGCTCGGTGGGTTCCGAACCGACGTCCTTGTGTGAGACAGACCGATTTTCTACCACTACACCATATCAGAATGAATTACGTATGCTTGAAAAAATGATCTAGGAATAAGATGTGGGTGGTTTCCGACCTGGGCGTAACCTTCGTAGTGCGCCGAGGACTGCTCCTCTCATCCAATTCACTGTCGGAGCCACCTGAAACACCAATAGAATTCAGAGTGCATATTCCTAAGCAGACATATTACACTTCGTAGTAGTGGTACTCTCATCCTCGTCTCTTTTCAACGACGCCATATCAACTCGAGCATCACCATCATCATCTACACATGGTAGATGCTTCTTATGCTGTACTTGCAGTAGTTCACCTGAGATCAGCAGCTAATCGGAACAACACCGACAGGTCGGTAGGCACCTTTCACGAGGTTCTGCATGCTGGAGGCGATACGAGCAGTGACTCTGGGCTCGTTGATTTTACTGAGGCAACCGATCATGACAGAAATGATGAAGTCTCCAGTCCAGACCGCCTGTTGATTTCCATATAGACTGAAAGATACTTTTCCTGCCCGGGAGGGAAGATGCAGATCAGGCCCACCAACAGTGACTTTCCAACCCTCGTCTTGTCGCAGCCTCGTCCAC